ATTTCTTGTGCAGCTGCTGTGTACTAATGTATGGGAACTTTTTACATGTCAGCTTTTTGCTAGTTGTTTTAAGTTTAAGTGGCCATTCACCTCCCTGATAAATGTCGAAAGAGTTTGTTCTGGGTTTTATTAGAACCCTGTATGATGTGTACCTTGTCTGCCTATAATTTTCTGTAACATGGTGCCTGTTCATTTATGTGTAGAGGTTCAAGCATTGCATGAGTGGTAAATGTATTACCTCTGCCGTCTTGAATAGGGGATTTTCAGTCACGTAATTTAGGACAGTCAGCGTTCAATTTACACAGAGTTTTCTTAGTCTTAGCCAAATCACGAGCGAAAGCAAAGTAATCTCCACTGTCATTATCCTAATGGTCTTTGACAAATCTCCTTCCTATATGTACATGTATGCTGGTAAGTGCCAAAGTGCCATATTCCACATTACTGGAGAGATACTAGTAGTAATCTGAACTGGCCATTTTAGCTTTGATCAAGTTATCAGTATAACTTTCTCAGTCCTCTGTCCTTAGCCATTTCTACTCATAGAGTCATTCTTTTTTATCTTTTCAGCTGAGGCAAGTGCATTAAACCTCAGGTTTCCCCACCTTAATCTATAAGCCAAGATTTCTTGTCAACAGCATTATCTTCACGAATCTTGACATGCCTCAACCGCCCTCCCCCATCCGGACAATGACCTGTCCATCCCATTCCATCCACCTGTGCGGCTTAATAAAAAGTGCAAGACCAACAAGGCCACAAAATTTAATTTGTGATCGGACTCCCCCCCCCCATCTCCAGCTGATGAAACTATTAGAATAATATCAGAAATTGGATCAAGGCAGGAAATGAATAATTATTTAGCAGTCGGAGAAGATGTCTCAGCTGATGCTGACCCCTCGCAAAGTTTTTACAGAATCCAGAAAGCTCGGAGACCTATAGCACAATGGAAAACGAACGAGTCTGATTTCCAACAGAGTGCACGTAACACCCATTCTCGTGCAACTCATTCAGACTGTACAGCAAATTTGCATGTATATTTGAAGTTATTTTAGGGCATGTGTGAATTGTGTAACGCATGGACATGATTCTTTTGGCCTTTAGAAGAGCTGACACTGTAGTTGCATGTATAGAGAGCTGGGGGAGTGTTACATGTGAGTGTGAATCTGGATGAAGCTTGTCAAGCCAATCTCAACCCCTTCTCAACGGGAATTTCTTTCCGAAAGCCGACTCCAAGAATTCCAGCCTCGCTTGGCCACGAAGGCCACCTGCCAAACGGCAAATTCTCGGTTTGTGGCCCAGCGTGCTCTGCATGCTTTGAATTACACGGTGAAAAAGCTGATTGTTCGGTGGCATGCGGCTCTACTCAAGCTTCCACATTCCCGTTGCCTCATTTCAAAGTGGAGACTATTGTGAAGCTGGTGATTATGATGCAAATTCGATCTTTTCATTTCTGGGCTACGCACAAAGACCAATTACCATATACACAAGAACCAGGGTCTGCCTTCCTTCATCGTGTTCGCTCGAGCATGGGCCGAGAATAATAGCTGAAAAGCGGGCTGAGGATCTCAATTTTTACGGGGTGTCTTAACATGTCCCAGCGTGAAGGGGTTAAGGGACATCTTTGCTATTAGGGAAAAACTGTATGCTGTGCACTGTCAACGGTACACAAACAAGTTCTGTGTGTCCCCTTCTGTAGCATTAGAAAAGAAAGGACTCTGCAGATATTCAACACGAAGATGTACTTTTTTGTCGGAGCATAAGGAAGGATAGCGGATTTGACACTTCAAATAACTGGATAAGACACTCTAATAGGATTGATCTTAATCTTGGAAATGTCACACCGTTCTTTGGGGGATCTCAGTGTACTGAAATGACAGGTTTTTCCAAGTTGGGAGGAACTACTAGTTTCCCTACTCTACTCTTTTACTTTCCAAAAATTACTATCCTGTCCCAAAATTAAATTGATGGAGTATTAAAAGGTAGAATCAATCAAATAATGGTGGCCTTTTCCTTTTTATCATGCAGATGGACAGGTTGAATCTAATTATCACCCCTATTAAATAATAAGGATTGACCTTAATGCCTTGGGGATTTTTGCAGTTAAGTCTGAATCCTTTATAATAGACCCACCAGTGTGCAGGAAACAAAAAGTATCTTCACAGTTTGCACAAAGAGATGAAAGTCTCACCGGAAAGTAAAATCCAAGTTTCAAGAAAATCACATTTCAAGTTGGTCTCTTTTTCAACCGCTTATTTCCCCAGTGTTTAGTATGCCTTTGACTTATCCAGTGCTACTGCATGAAAGAGAAGATCGCAAATGACACAAAACTACAAAATAATATGCATAGAAGTCAAGCAAAAAATTTTATTTTGTAAACAAACATGTTTGTCTGTTTGTGAAAACAGACAATGCCCATAGGGCATGCTATGTGCAAAATTGTTACATTTGTATACATTTCCGGAGTCAAGTTCGTCTCTTCGTGAAAACTGCAAAACATTATATCATGGAAGACAAATTGGTCCCTTCGCGAAAATTAAAAATCCGGTGTGTTGAGTTTTGCCTCACAGAGATCGTCGTGATGTGGCTGATTTCAGTAGATTTGGTAAAAAATGGTGACACCAAGTTGTAGGCATCACATAGCTGAGTTGATTTTGCCCAAAAAACAACCCTGACGATATAGGTATACTTGAAGGTAAACCAAGGGCTGGTCATGTACCTGTACATGTACCGGTACATTGTACATATACATGTTCATGTGTATTATGTGCAGTGTGTCATGCACATTTGTTCGAACAAACATTTGTTCGAACAAACACATGTACATGTACATGTATGCTATTCTGCGATTGGAAAATGTCCAGTTTCCAACAAGACGTTCATCCGCTGCCTCTTGTTCTGCCACTTGCCACAACCATTGACACAATCCTTTCCTATATCTTTTAAAATCAATCAGCAGGCTTTAGAGGTGACGGAGGTTTTTGCAGGATTGAAGGCACAGCTTGGCCATGATAGCGTCAATTGAGGTGTGATGCCCCTTGAAAAGTGCAAGCAAATGTTAAAGAAAACGTAGAGCTCTGCCCCCAAAGATGTACATATAGATCATGTCTGAGTTCCAACGGAGAATCAATGTTCACGTCAGGCATGGGAGAACCCCAAAGGATTGGGTCCCTGAAGCTACAGCACTGCAATTAAAGGGAGACTCTGGCAGACAAATTGTAATACATTGCACCATTTACTTAAAGTCCCTGAAATATAAAACAGCACTACTGATCTTGGAAAATTACCAAGAACATGCCGGCCTCTGTGAAGTTCATCTACCAATTTTAAGCTACCAGTCACGGTCTTCATAGCAAATAAGTTTCTGGCACATAATCAACAGGTGGATTGTTAACAAACATGCATTTGCATGAGTCAACCCAATATTGGCATGTACTTTGTGTTCGGCATCACTGAGGCTCAGCACTGCACAGGAAGATGATGCCCCCTCGCATTTCTGGGTGTGTGTTTTTTTCTACCTGAAGAGTCCTCAGTTGGAACCGATGATGATTGCTGTCGACTCAGTGTCTGGCTCCACTGTTCTGCCATGAAAATTCCCCTAACTACCTCCCGGTTACCACTGGCTTGAATGATTAAGTTAAGCATTTGTATACTAGCTATACTTTAGTGCATGTCCTTAAAAATTAAAAGGTGGTGAAGAGGCGGGCGTGGTCGGTGGCATGATGATGGGGGTTGTGTGTACAGTGGAAAAGGGGAAGATTTGGGTGTTTCTCATTTGTGTAAGCAGGAGTTGCAAAGTACAGATGATATCACTTGTATTGATCTGGTATATCAATGCAAAGGATACATGTACATGTACGTACATGTATATACACATGTGGAATTGAGGAGTTGTATGTTTCAGGGAAATGTTTTTAAAAATCCAATGAGTAATATTCCTTTCCTGCTCTAATTAATTAGCGTACATTCTACAGTGTATGGAGTACCGTATAGTCCAAGGATTCAAGTTTGCCCCTGCTTTTATTTTGTGAATAGTTAATTGCACATGAAATGTTTGTCTTTCAGATACATCCATTATATTCTGGCTTTACATGAGCACTTATGTTTGTCATTACCGACAGGACTTTGATCGCAGAACCATGATCATTTACATGGTTCAAACATAATATGGTATTGTAAATTATAAGGTGTTTTGTGCCAAACTATGGTACATTCCTAGTGTACGGTAGAATGCTTTCTTTGAGGCCAAACAAAAAATTCGTTGTGTTTCCTGTTACATTGAAAAATGAATTAGGGTGGTTGGTTGGAAAAAATAATTTGTTTTTACTCTAAATTTTTATAGCCCAGAAAGTTAGGGTAGGATGATGATCTGTATGGGGGCTGGCACATATATCAGTAACAGGTATTAAGTCAGTGTCACATTAATACTGTACATATGCACGTCAGTATTACATATCAGCACTGTGATTGAGTAGTAAAGCAGCTGGTTGTTGAAATACAATCTCATGCAAAAAAAAAAATTAAAACAATACCATGTACAGGACAATGTACCGTACATGAAATTAGGCTCGGGGCAAGGCACCATCAGTTTCTATATTTTGTTGATTTGTCAAATAAAAAGATACAGGTTCCGTGTTACTTCCTAGGTTCGGTCGGGTAACTTGAAACACAGCTATTTTTTTGTTTGGCCTAAGCAGGAAATTGTGGCTTAAGCATGTAAGTCACTTTTCAATCTTTGAACTGTTACATGGCCATCTTGCCCGAGGAATCAATCAAGTGTTTAGATGTACGTCTAAATCTGCCCCATTTCTGCTTCTGTAGAAATACATGCAGGTTTGGAGTAATGCAATTTTCCTTTTTATGTTTACACTTTAAATTTGATTTTAAGCCCTGACTCCTTGCCATAGAATCTTGAGCACAAAGTCTGCAACACCTTTGCTGACTCAAATGTTTAAAGAAGCAACAACTTTTACACTTTTGTTTTCCCATTTTGGTATTTTTGACAGGTTCAGGCCCAAGTTCGTAGCACAAAGCAAAGATTTGACAAACTCAAGAATGACGTCTGCCAAAAGATAGACCTCCTCGGAGCAAGTCGGTGCAATCTCTTCTCACATACACTGGCCGCTTACCAGAACACGCTGCTCCATTACTGGGAGAAAACATCCCGCACGATGTCAGCTGTACAAGAGGGTTTCCGTGGTTACCAACATTACGAATTCAACCTGCTGAAGGTATGGTTGCTTTCAGGTTAAAAAAAAATGTTGGGTTCACAATAATTAGAACGTTTCACAGCCTGCGACAGGGCTGACAATTCCAAAGCACTTTCTGTTCAAAGTTTCTTACACAGACAGATTACAGTTATTCAAGCAGTCGTGTTGAACTTAACCTGTATGTCACTCCCTGATGCACTTTTGTGACTTTGAATGTGGTGTGGTGTTTATTGTAGTGAGTTAATCCAGTTTATGCCAAAGGATTTGCTGTGAGCCTGTAAATATCTGTGTTGTTTATTTTGATTGACTGAGTTTTCTCGTTTCTATGTGTAAGTGTAGATTTGTCTTTTGTTGTATTTGCAAAGACTTCACTGGTTTTTTGTGCGTTAATGTGTTTAGACTGAAATGTATAGACTATGTAGCTATATTTGACATGTAGGTTAATTTGACAAATCAAGTTTATGTTTGCCAGGAATGAAACCGTGTGTGCTAACTGTAATTTGGTCATGAAATGCCTTTCTGAAGTTATATCAAGACAACAGCTTCCTTCTTTGGCTAAATAGTATCTAAAGACATGCGGTTGCGGAACCATGTTTTTAGGAAAAATATGTAAGCAAAGCCTATCTTTGAGAGGCGAAATTTGTCGATCCACAAAAAAGTCAGGAATGAGGCATGGACCCTACTGCACCGGACTGGATTCCTACAGTGAACATGTTTGTGTAGTTCCCAATTTAGACCCACAATGATAGTACACTCTTGTACTTTCATCATAACTTCATGCCTCTCAAAGTGATTAGTAGATGTAAGGTCACGTAATATTTGTACCCATTGTGACACAGACAAAAAATTGTTTCTATCCATTTGTGGGGGTATTCAGAAAAGAACCCTACCTGTTGTGTGCTATTGTTCAAAGTTCATGGTTCAATCAGGGCACGTTGTAGGGCATTTCCTGATTAAGTCAGCACATCAGTACGGGTGACTCACAATAGTGTGCCTTCCAAGAGTTTGGAAGATGTTGGCCAATCACAATGCGGAAAGTCTGTCAACCCTTTGCAAATGTGCATTGGGTCAACAGATTTCGGACATCGTGATTGGCCAACACGTTGCCAACTCTTGGAAGGGGCACTATTGGGAATCACTAGTATTGGTTTCATTTGGAAACAGCAGCAACCGTAGCTGAGATTGCTGTAGGACTCATTTGCATGGTGTGTTTGTGTGACCCTGACCTCTCTCCTCCTGTGTGTTGTTCACGTCTTGTTTTCACAATGCAGGAATTGTCCGAGACCAGTAAGCAGCTGGCCCAATTGACAGGCGCAAAGGACATTGTACCAAATTGGGAGGACGACTTAGAACATGTAACGTCAGAATGTTCTGTTGGTTTTGCTCTTGATGGTCTCCTCCTTATTCTTTCCTTGTTATTGCATGATGCATGCAGACTTGACAAAATCCACTGGGAACCATACTCATCCATTTAGTATTTGCTCCCTCTAACTCTGGGTTCATTATTGTACCTGTACTCGG